AATTTAGTTAAATTTCAAAATAAAATTTTTCATAATAATTGTTTTTAAAATTTGTTTTTACAAAATATAGTATTCTTCTCTAAAAAATATATACATACATGAAGCATGGAGTTGAGACATAAAAGGATAGTAAATGAAAGCAATCTGTAGTATTATATAACATTAATTCTATGTTTTAAACAAATGACTAATTAACAATAATTGACATTAACTTAAAGGGGAGCTTTATAAACAAGCTTAAACCAGTGTCCACATTCACAGCGTCGTGGCCGACCTTCATGTAACCACATCCAATTTATATGTGCGGAATCTTCTTCACAAATACATCCCACAATGCGACTTTTGAATGCACTTGGTACTAAATTTGGAGTGTCTTTGGTGCTCTGTCGGTCTACTTGTATGGCTTTCATGTTATATGGATCCTAAAATAAAACAATATTAGGAATTATAATCTTGATAACAAATCAGTTTTTTAAAACAAGATTTAATAACCTATACATGTTAACTTAGTAATAATTTTATTAATTCCAAACAAGAAGCCTTTTAAGATAATTATAGTAGGTACCTCAAGAATAAAAAAATGTCCCAAGTACACATAAAAATATATAAGCGATACTTACTATACAAACAAACTTATTTAGTTGAATTTACTTTTTTTTTTAGAAATAAAATAAAATTTCATTCTCATATAAACAGAAATCAGAAAGACAAAAAATAATCTATTTAAAATCTTATTTTACAAATTTACTTAATTAATTACACCATGAAATTAAACAATGACATACTATTTCATATCATTTACTACATATCGAAAACAGAAGTAAATTACGTGATATTCTCTCAGGAAATTACTAGACATATAAACTTACAAAATTTCCTGCAGCTGCGGCAAGTAATTCACGTTTTTCCAATCCCGTAGCATGATCCAATGGGTCGGGTAAAGCTGTAACAAAAAATTTCTTCGACAAAACTTCTATTTTATACTTAATTCAAATTATAAGTGATGGGAAATCAATAAATTATATTATCATATTACGTAATATAAAAATGCAAAAAGCTTAAGCTGAATAATTTTTGTAATAATAAGAAAAAATGTTCACTTTACTTTTTCGGTATTTAACAGTATTACAAAAAAAACTACGTCGACATGTCTGGAAAACAGGACGACTACATAACCATGCCATTTTTCTGATCAAACGGTTAACACTCCTTTCAGTAAGAACCTTCGCTCACAGCACAAACAATTTGCACGAAAGAGGCTATAGAGTGTCAACCTTAGTAAGATACTTCGATCAATCAATATACTTTTCACAGCGCCAAACTACCAAGGTGGTCAAAATTTCAGTGTGTTCATTTTTACTTTACTTTCAAATGTTATACTTTACATAATGTAACACTGTATTGCATGTAACAAATACTATTGTTACGTAATTAAAAAATAAATGTTCCATAACATTTTGAAACTACACATACATGTACTTTTCATAACAGCTATTATTACAAATTTTAAATATTACATTAAAGCTTATCAATGTGAAAATATTAATAATGATGCAGTAAACATATATCATTATTATTATAATTAATCATTATGTAATTAAAATATTATACATGAGTTAAAAATTTCTTGTATCACTAAAGATAATCTTGGAGCAAATTCTAGTTTATTTAGTACATTGGGTCTCATGGATCTTTGTCGAATCTCTAGAACTAAACAAACGCACAGCGGTGGTGGTCTTATGTAAAATGGCGTAAGATACGCAAAAATCATTCTGACATCAACCATTGAATAGTTTGCACCGAAGTGGCTGAAAGAAATAATTGGTGTCAGTAAATTGGTAACTGACATACCGGCATTTTAGTTCATATTATCACAGACGACGTATAGGATAAACCTAACATCATAGACGAGATATAGGATAGACTCAGTGGCAGTTACTTAATACGTACTATTGTGCTGTAGTACGTTAAAATGTTTCGGAAATCGCTGATATTATAATTTTTATTTTATTGTAACAACGAATACATTTTCTTTTTTTGTGCTATTATGTTCGCAGCAAAAAAAAATCATCGAGCCGATTTAATAATTTGAGACTGTAGAACGTTAAGTGTAAAATCCATAAGCCGCCACTGGGTAAATTAATCATCTTATGGGACTTTTTGTTACACAATCTGAAATACCGACGTCATCCAAAACCATTGGTTTTGAAGTGCACTTTACGCTTAATAACGGTCATTTTAAGAACTATATCGAGTAAAACGATCAAGTCAGTAAGTAAATTCTGAAAGTTAGCGTCCAAGGCAAGATTATGCGTGCATATTGTTACTGTATTGTTATTACACTCTTGGATCCCGAATCCATTCTAATTCATCCTAAGATTCGAAATTTTGTCTCCTTCAGTATTTAAAATAATAAATGCCTATCAGTGTTCTTGATTTCAATTTCTACCACTAAGAGAGTAGTGGTACAATATCAGTCCCAATTGATACAATAGGGGTTGTGTGAAAGAATCCCGGGGTCGTGTGACAAAAAAATACATTGGATGAGTGGTCTACTGTATATATCGTCTATGCTTTAACATACAAATTACAGTTTAGCAGTAGGCTAAGGTCTTTATACTATATTATAATAGATACAAGTTATATTAAAATAAAAAGTTACGATTACCGCTACATTTAGTTCGCTATGAATATGTAGACGGGTAAGCAAATTAAAGTGGAAAGGGTAGATTTACATGAGAATCGCATAGTGCGGACCTCATGGCTGCTTCGTATGAGTCATAAAGTGTGGACGTCTCACTTTTATTTTGAATACTTTTGAAATAATAACATTGTTTAAAAATGAATAAAAAATTTGCAATGGTAGTTATTAAATAAAATGTTATTAATAAAATATATAAATTTAGTGATTATATTAAGAACATATTTCATACTCATAGTTATAATTTAACAAAATTGAGAAATGACATTCTTTAAACTTCAGTTTGTAGTGAGTAAATTACAATAAACAATAATAATATTAGAATACTTGTGAATATATTACGTATTTATATGTCAAGATTTCCTATCTTTCTAATTTTACTTGATTGGTTGGAATAATACTTCATAAAAGGCAATTCCATATTTCTAACATTTGATTGGCTATTACACTTAAACATCATTGCAGAAAAGGCGGTATATTAGTTAATGACGTAATGTTTATTCTAATAGTATAACGAATCATTTATTTAATATAAAGTTATACTTACGACAGTGCATTTTGTATAGATATTTTCATTGGAAAGTGCAAATAAAATTAATAATATATAAAAGTGCTTTTTCGTTCATAAAAATACTAGGTACTCTTTTTAAATAATCTCTAATATATAATGTTGAAAGTTTTTTAAATAAAAAAAAAAAATTATTACAACTGTTAATAAATATCGTGAGATTTAATTTAGTTCTTCCTTATCATTAAAGAATGCCTGGGTAAGCACTATTATTTCTCTTGTGAAACATACTGTTATAGGATATTTCTTCCATCATCAAAATTAATTTCCAGGTATATAATTTTAAATCCGTTATTATGATTATAAACACCAACTTGAGTGTATTATTAATATAAACATACAACATTTATAGTATTTTGTTTATTTAACATAAAAAAAAACTATTCTTGATAGTGTCAAAAAATAAATTATTTATAAGGTATTATGC